CAGTGAACTTCTGTGGGTACACTCTCTCAGCATCAGGTATTGCAGCTGACCCGGAGAAATTAAGTGGAATCAGGGATTTTCCAACCCCTGCCAACCTGACAGACCTCCGTCCATTTTTGGGTCTAGTCACTCAGCTGGCTGAATTTTCACCTGACATCTCCGCCGCAGCTCAGCTGTTACGCCCCCTGCTGAGCCCCAGGAGGACATTCCTGTGGACCCCAGATCACCAAGAGGCCTTCCAGCGAGTCAAGCAGGCCCTCTTAAGTCCACCTGTCCTCGCCTGTTACGACCCAGCCCTACCCACCGTCCTCCAGACTCTACGGCGTTGGTTACGCCCTTCTGCAGGACCATGGCGGTGGACAACTCCGCTTAATTCAGAGTGGATCCTGGTTCCTGACGGACGCTGAGACCCGATATGCCACGATCAAGCTGGAGATGTTGGCTGTTGTCTGGGCGATGGCGAAGTGCCACTTCTACCTGATAGGACTTCAGCACTTCACCCTCTTCACGGATCATCGCCCTCTTGTACCTATTATATATCAATCACTACTCTTTGGATGCAGTAGAGAATCCTCGCCTTCAACGTTCGAAAGAGAAGCTCTCGCCTTATCTCTTCACGGCTGTGTGGCGTGCGGGTAAGCTGCTGTGCATCCCGGATGCTCTGTCCCACGCCCCTGTCAGTCGCCCCACCCCAGAGGACGAGATGTTGTGTTCTACAGCTGCTGCATCCCTCAAGTTAGTAGTCTCATTGAAGGCCGTCTTCACATCAGAAGAGTCTACAGCACCGGATGCAGACAAGACCGTTGAAGATCTCCGCACCGCAGCCCGGGCCGACCCTTCATACATCCGGCTAGTCGACTGTGTGTCCCAGGGATTTCCATCTAACCGATACGACCTTCATGAATCGCTACTCCCGTACTGGAAGATACGCGAAGACCTCTATTGTGACGGAGACCTCGTCTTGTATGGTCCACGAGTAGTCATTCCTGCTGCCCTACGCCGCCGTACCTTGACCCGCCTTCACGAAGCCATCGAGGAGTGGAGGCCACCAAGCGACGGGCAAAGCAGACTATATTTTGGCCCGGAATCGACGCGGACATTGCAAGTACCGTCCGTGCCTGTGAGCCGTGCCAGATTCTGCAACCCAGCCAGCAACAGGAACCTTTAATGTGCGACGATAACCCTTCAAGACCCTTCGAGTCTGTGTCGGCCGACTTCTTTGCAGTGGCAGGGAAGTCCTTCCTCGTCATTGCCGACCGATTGTCTGGATGGCCTGTTGTCGTCCCCTGTGGTAGTGATACAACGGCTACTGCTACCATCCGGAATTTCAGGCATTACTTCAGAGAAGTTGGTGTTCCCCTCCGCCTCAGGACTGATGGAGGACCCCAGTTCACCAGCCACGAGTTCCGGGACTTCATGGACCGTTGGGGAGTCCGTCATGTCGTGACCTCGCCCCACTACCCCCAGGCGAATGGACACGCTGAAGCCGCAGTCAAGACTGTTAAACACCTGATCCTTAAGGTGTCACCCTCAGGAAATATCGACTGCGAGGACTTCGATCGAGGTTTGTTAGAGTTACGCAACACCCCGAACTTCACCGGACGCTCCCCAGCCCAGGTTCTATATGGACATCATCTCAGGTCTTGTGTTCCTGCCCACCCGAAGTCTTTTTCTCAAGAATGGCAAGCCAAGACTGAAGAATGTGACCGCCGTGCAGCAGAACGAGCCGCAGATGTCGCTGCTCGGTACGACTGTCATGCCCGCCCCCTTCCCAGGTTGAGTATCGACCAGCAGGTCAGGATTCAAGATCCGGTATCTCACCGCTGGGACAAGGTTGGGGTTGTCATGGGTATTGGCCGGTCCAGGGACTACCAAGTGCGTCTTCCTAGTGGTAGAGTATGGTGGAGGAACCGTCGTTTCCTCCGACCTGTGGAGCCGCCTAGCGTTGACCCTTCCCCAGTAGAGTCCCCTAATGTTGATGCCTTTAAAGTAAATCCATCCCCACCTTGTGTTTCTGCCTCCATATTAATTCAGTAAATTACATTTAATATCGTATAGGCCTAGTTCCACAACCTCTCGCTACGTGCGGGAGCTCGGTCTTCCCTCAGACGACCTTGAACTCAGTATCGCCAATGGCGCGGCGTTTGAAATTACACTGAAATTTCTTAATATTATATATATATATATATATATATATATATATATATATATATATATATATATATATATATATATATATATATATATATATATATATATACACACAGTCATGCGCTGGTTAACGTCCTAGATACGTTCTTGGAAACGTGACGTTAACCGAAATGGACGTTGTCCGATCATCACATAAACTTTTTATTTATACTTATGTGTATGTGGAATACTATATACGTACATATACACTTTTACTCTTAAATCACAACTGTAATGTGATACAGGTGATTAATTTTTATCTCTTGTGCAAAATACATGACGTTTATATTAAAATTATTCACTGTTTTACAAGGATTCCAGCAACGCCAGCAGATGGGGAGAGAGAGTGGGAGCGAGCGAGGGGGCGTGGGGGGAGGGGAGGTAGTACGTTTGACAGTTGGCACAGGCCAGGTCTAACGCATGTATATTTATCAGTTCTTAGGTGACTAAGCTTCTCTCTTATAAAAAGCCAGTGAAATGACCTGGGTGAATATAATTAACATAGCTGGGATTCTTGTAACATACTGATTAATTTGAATATAAACATGCTATAATTTGCACTAGACAAAACAATTTTAGTACCGTAATCAAATTAGTACATGTGCACTCCAGCTTTGCACTAAGAAATCTATGTAAATCTACCCAAAAATACAGTTGAAAAACTTTTTTATAAAATGTACTACAGTACTGTACACTAATGTACAACAATTTTTATCTCTTGAGCAAAATATATGACGTTTATATTCAAATTATTGGCTGTCTTGCAAGGATTCCAGCAATGCAAATTATAATCTCCTAACTTTAGTCTGAGATATTATATAAGATAAAAACTGTAAGCCTAAGAGCCTGGCTGGACGGGGGGGGGAGGACTGACGGCTCCGCCACCCAGCGAGAGGTTAGGGGTGGGTGGGGGGGTTGAGGTGATAAGTTTGAGGCGAAGGTCTCTGTGTGTTTATTTAACAGTCCTACTAAGCTTCTCTCATTTTAAAATGCCAGTGATATGACCTGGGTGAATAGAATTAACATAGCTGGGATTCTTATAACATACTGATTAATTTGAATATAAACATGCTGTAATTTGCACTAGACAAAACAATTTTAGTACCGTTATCAAATTAGTACATGTGCACTCCAGCTTTGCACTAAGATATCTATGTAAATCGACCCAAAAATACAGTTGAAAAACTTTTTATAAAATGTACTACAGTATGGTAGACTAAGGTACTACATTTTTTATATCTTGAGCAAAATATATGACGTTTATATTCAAATTAATCTCTGTCTTGCAAGGATTTCAGCAATGCAAATTATATTATCCTAACTTTAGTCTGAGATATTATATAAAATGAACATAAAGAAATCACCAAACTTTTGTCTGGGAGGGAGGGGGCGGGAGGTGAGGTGACAGAATGTCTGGTGTTTGTTTGTTTATTTATTTGAGATAAGATTTGACAGTTGGCGCTGAAGGCCTGCCTGCGTGTTTATTTATCATTACTTAAGAGTGACTAAGCTCTTCTCATAATTTGCCACCCAAACGACCTGGGTGAATATAACTTACATTGGAGGGATTCTTGTAAGATAGTAATTTATTTGAATGTTTTTTTTTTTTCAATTTAAATTTTAATTGTTTATTCCTTGATAGAGGAAGCGGGATCCTAGTGCTGTCACTTGGTACCCCTGTACCATAATACTGTAGTCCACAAAACATGTAGCTACCCGGTATGCTTTTTCTATTTGGTCCCTCGTCATACGAGTCCGTTTTCTCTCACATCAGGACGCCTAAGTCCTCCATTTTCTCTCTTAACCTTAGAGTGCACCAGAAACTTTACTATTTTTAGTAATGCCACAGAATTTGAAATTGCAACCCCAATTGCAACTTGCAATTGTTGAGGCAACTAGATATGTCTGATTACAGCAAATGTGTTATTGTCAATTTGTAGGTGAAAGATTTTATCCTCAATAGATGTAGGTTAACATTTCACCTGTAGGCAAATGCTTAAGAAAAGCCTAAGTAAGGAAGCATATTCCTTTAACACATAATATCTGACCAGTATGGGGAGGATCATCGTGTCTCCGTCAGGGGGTCGTGGAGTGGTGGTCCAGCAGGCGTCACGTGGTGTTTTTTTTTTTTTTTGGGGGAGCACGGACGCATATGCGATCGGACGTTGTTCGGTTGGACGTTAACCGGCGCATGACTGTATTATCATATTTACATATTATGTATTCAGCTTGTGAACGCTGGCATCTGTACATGCCAGCGCGGAGTGATACAGGGAGTTGAGATCGCTAGTCCTTTTGGTGTGGAAGCTAGTTTATTTGTTCCTCTGTATTTGACTCCCGTACGAGAATAAGAACCTATTATCAAGATGACAAGTGTTTGCGTATACCCTCAGTAGTGTAGAACATTTTAGGGGTAGCAAAGACAGACATACAACTACAGCTACCCAGAGTCAGCAGGAAGGAGGGTATAAAACTCTACTGAAAACTGCAGTTCACACCTCTATAGAGCCACACTGCTCAACAATGGTAACTCTCACCTCACAAACTCCCTTTCTAGAGAATATAATGTGATGGGAAAGTGTAAGGCATTAATGGACTGGACAGTGTTGTAATGTGAGTCACTTAGTAAGGGTTTGGTCTAATTTAGTGTATGAAGAAACCTTCAGTTTTAGCTCACACCTTAGCAAGCAGTTCAATGGAACTGTAGAAAGTTATTGTGGTGATTACTATCAATAAATTCCTATTACATTTGTCGAGTGTTGGACACATCACACTGTATCACCCCTATACCAACCCAGGCTGTACATTACCTGAAGGTCTAGTGGGCACCATAAAAGATCTTATATCGACACAGCCTCTACGAAGAATTCCTGCATTACTTCGTCTGCCGCTAAGATCTTGAATATCAGCTCTATCAATCAACTGCAAAGAAATAAAATATGTATAAACATTACATAAAATACAGTTAAATTAATAAATTCCATACTCCTTGACAGTAAAAATAAAATAACTATAAAAGATGACCCCTTTAATGGCAGGGAAGCAACTTTTAATACAGTCAACCCTCACTTTACGCGGTCCCACATTCCGTGTTTACGCAGTGCCCTGCCAGAACCCAGGATGCTCACATTCTGCGGTGGGTGTACCCCTTTACACGGGTGAAGTATAATTTTTTTATTTAGCTAATAAAATTCATACAAATTATCCAGCCAGAATATAGTTTACATTGCTGGAATTCTTACAATTTGATGATCATTTTGAATATAAACATCATATATTTTGCATTAGACATACAAATTTTAGATATAATGTTTACTCTGAGTAAATATGTTATCTTTTATGCAAAATATATGACATTTATATTAAAAATATTCCTGGTTTTACAAGGAATCCAGCAATGTCAATTATATTATCCTAACTTTAATCTGAGGTATTATTTAATACTAAATGTTAAAATCTAGTTTTTTCACCCAACCTTTCTCTTGAAGGGAGGATTGGTGGGGGTGGGGGGGAGGGTTGGGACGGACCGACCATCTGGCCCGGTTGGAAGAGGGGGGAGGCAAGGTAGGGTACTTTGATTGACAGATAGTGTCGTGAAGAATATTTTTTATTTATTAACTGAAGATATTTGTTTTAGCTCATAAAATTCATACAAATTACCCGGCCAGAATATAATTTACATTGCTGGAATTCTTACAATTTGATGATCATTTTGAATATAAACATCATAGATTTTGCATTAGACATACAAATTTTAGATATAATGTTTACTCTGAGTAAATATGTTATCTTTTGTGCAAAATATATGACATTTGTATTCAAAATATTCCTGGTCTTACAAGGAATCCAGCAATGTCAATTATATTATCCTAACTTTAGTTTGAGGTATTATTTATTACTATACCTGGTTTTCCCCCAAAAATTTCTCAGAGGGAAGAGCCAGCGAGTGTAGTGTGAGAAGAGGGGGAGGGAGTTGAGTCCATTATTTGAATGGACATTAACTTGGCGACTGTATTTCTCTATTTCTCTTAAGTATTAATTGTGTGCATGTACCATCATAAAATTAAGATGTTATTTTTACTAGAACATAGGTATTGTGTTGGAAAAAGTGGAGTTTGGGGGTCAGCTGGTCTCTATTTCATTTAATCCCATATGTTATGTTATTCACTTTACGCGTTTCTCACTTTCCGCGGTACCCTGTGGGTTACATTAACCGCGTAAAGTGAGGGTTGACTGTGTATATATATATATATATATATATATATATATATATATATATATATATATATATATATATATATATATATATATATATATATATATATATATATATATATAAAATATATAATATATAATATATATATATATATATATATATATATATATATATATATATATATATATATATATATATATTTATATATATCATGGGTTGCGCTGGGCCTCCCGCACAACCCATCCCAAATGTTTGTTTAGGTAGAGATAAGGTACCTGGCCAGCCGATAGGGGTCATCTCACGCCTCAAAACCACATTTTAGCAGTGGGCTTTAGACCTTGGTTGAGAGAAGACCTCATGCTCCGCAGACTTACTATAGAACAGGGGCCATACAGTCCTACCAGTACTACGGGTCTGTGTGTGCAAAATCCCGAGATTGTTGTTAAGTCCAGCGAAAGTTAACGCATCCTGTAAAGGAAGTGATCACTGGTGAGGGCCTGTTTGCTACAAGAGCACTCCAAGCCGGACCAATAAACTTAAGTGAAATTATCTTTCCGTATCTGTGACCCCTCTATTATTATTATTATCAAAGGTAATGACTGAGTGGTTATGACAAAGTATAACCAATAACTTAGATGGATGTTGGAAGTTAATGGAATTCATTAAATCATCATTTATCAAGTACACAACGCATTGAATGCCGGAAGCAGAGCGAAATTCTACGTAGTGGTACACCATAATCTCCTGGGTGAGTAATCAGTGTGAAGGTATCCGAGTTCTACGGTAAGAAAACCACTTTCTTGCATTTAAAACCTAACAATTGGCGCCCTAACAGGGACACAGACCGTGAATAATTGCACTATTGTATCGCCCACACTTACACCATGTCAGCTTGTGCAGCGGCTTATGAGGAAGCACGTGACCCTGGAGGGGGCTGAGGCGATTGCACACATGGAGAAGGCTGAGGAGAGAGAAGACAAGCAATGCGAGCATGAACAACTCTCAGCCCAGCTAGACTTTCAGAAGGAAGAAAAGAAGCTGGAACGAGAAGAGAGACAAAGGGAACGGGAGTTCCAACTGGCCTTAGCGGAAAGGAACCAAAATTCTTCTCCGTCAGGAACTCCCACTCAAAACGTCACTTATAGGAAATTTCCCCAGATGCCCACCTTTAAGGAGGGCGAATCCATGGAAATGTACACTTCCCGTTTGAGCATCTCGCAGAAGCCTACGAGCTTGATGACAGCATTAAGGAATTAGAGTTCCTGAGCCTATTTGATGGGAAAGCTTTAGGGATTCTTCGAAGACTAGAGCGTCCTGAAAACAAATTCCCTGACATGAAGTCTGCACTGCTGCGGGCATATGGGCTGACTACTGAGCAGGCCAGGCATCAGTTCAACAGGGCAATGTTGGAAGAAAATGAAACGGCTGCACAGTTCCAGGAACATTTAAGGGACTATGTGTTATAGACTTAATGGTGCGCATGCAGTTTGAAAGGTCTTGTCCTCCTGAACTTGTGGCTCAAATCAGGGCCAATGGAGTTAAGACGTCGAAGGAAATGGCAAGCAAAGCAGACGCTCATTTCAACGCTTTCGGGTACCACACTCGGAGGCGGTGGTCGAAGAGGGAGTTGGCAGGGACCCAACAAAGTCAACAACCTCTACAGAAACAGCCACCGAACCCATCCAGGCAACAGGGAAATAACCCGTAACCACAACCGCAAAGGCAGCAACAGAAACAGCAGCAGAAGCAGTACCAAGGCCACCCGAAGTACCAGGACAGTTGGCGCCCGGGTAACAATTCACGATGGGACCGGCGGCCGTGGCTCAATTCATAGGCCAAGGTGCCAGCAATAATAATCCATGAAATAACCAGCAGCAGGAAGCCGCCGATGTTCAAACTGTGGACGGGGAGTGGCCTGACCTTCCAGCAGGGCTGATCGTCATGCAACCTGAAGCAGGGGCTCATACCGAATCAGGTCTACCCCACCACACCTCCTGACTAACTGCCACCTCCACCGTCTCCTCGAGGGGTCACTCCACCTTTCTTGTTAAGCCTGGATACGCTGGAGGAGTTCCAGTGACTGCCATGCGAGATAGTGGGGCATCAGGCTGTATTGTCAGGAAGGAATTGGTGAAGCCACATCAATACACCGGAGCACAAGTAAGTGTTAAATTAGCCAATAGTTACATTCAAACGGTTCCAGTGGCCAAGATTGAGGTGGACACCCCCTTCTTCTCAGGTTGGGTCACTGCAGCAGTGCTGAGGGAACCTATATATGATCTCATCATTGGAAATATCAAGGGAGCAAGAAACAGTTGTGCAGTGGATGCTGCAACCCAAACTGATGCTGCCGCTTTGACCCAAGTTAATGCTGCTGCAGTCACTCGGGATATGGCTCAAACTAAACCTCGAGTCACCCCATTGGCTATTGCCACATCGTCTGATCTCATCAATAGTCAGGATGTCGTCCAAGAGCAAGAGCATGACAGCACGCTCACTTCAGTACACAAGAGTTTGATGGTTGGGACCATCAAGGAGACATTTGGGAATCGAACGAGGTTGGTAAAGAAGAGGAACCGTCTCTACCGAGAGACTGTGACGTCTCTGGGGGAAACACGACTGCAGTTCGTGGTTCCTTCCAAGTACCGCCTGGCTGTGTTCAAGCTAAGTCATTGCACTGTTCTTGGCGGCCATATGGGTAAAAAGAAGACCTTTGATCGCATCAGTGCGGCATTCTTCTGGCCAAGGATGGGCCAGGAGATCGCTAGGCTAGTCCGCTATTGTGATGTTTGCCAGAAAACCAGTGATCGAGGGCGAGTCCCACCTGCACCTCTACAGCCCCTTCCACTGATCTCTGAACCCTTTGAGAGGGTGGCGGTGGACATTGTGGGGCCGATAAACCCAAGGGAGAGCGATGGGGCAAAGCATATTCTCACCTTGGTTGACTTTAGCACGAGGTGGCCCGAGGCTGTGCCTTTGAGGAACATTGAGGCCACGACTGTTGCAGAAGCCATGTTGGAAATCTTCTGTCGGGTCGGTATCCCCCAAACAAGTCCTCAGTGACAGGGCGACCCAGTTTACTTCTGCCATGATGGAGGAGTTGTTGCGGCTGTTATCGGTAAAGGGGCTAAAGACAACACCTTATCACCCGATGTGCAACGGACTCTGTGAAAGGTTCAATGGGACGCTGAAGAAAATGCTCAGGAGGATGGCAGCCGAACAACCTATGGAGTGGCCGCGCTACATTGCCCCACTTCTGTTCGCGTACCGAGAGGCGCCACAGAGCTCACTCAAAGTGTCTTCCTTCGAGCTTATGTACGGCAGGTCCGTCCGGGGACCTCTAGAGGTTCTTCGGGAACTGTGAGATGATGAGGAACCAGATCCGGAAGTCAAGACCACTTATACATACGTCACTGACTTAGCTGATCGTCTCCAAGAAACCTGTCAACTGGCAAAGCAAGAGCTGATAAAGGCTCAAGAGGTCCAGAAGACTTACTATGACAAGAAGGCCAAGCTTCGTTGTTTCCAGCCAGGTGATCAGTGCCTGGTTCTGTTGCCTACGATGCGCAATAAGTTACTGGCTCAGTGGAAAGGTCCATTCGACATTGCAGAGCGTGTCTCGGATCTGACTTACATCGTCCAGGTGAGATCTCGACGAAAGAAGTTCCACATCAACATGCTGAAGAAATACTTCCCGTCACCAATC